GGATAGGAGTCTTCATCTCATTTCACTCTGATCCCCCTTACCTCTTCCTCTTCTGCTCTTGGGCCTCCTGGCTCTTCTCCTCTTCATCGTCTGTCTCTGATTCATCCTCATTTCGCTTCTTACGTTTTTTCTCCTTCTCCAGAACCTAGGACCCAGGCGGGTGGGCAGGGGTGAGGGAGCTGGAGAAGTCATCACTGATGCCAGGGGACTGCATAACAAACTAAGTAGAGTCTATTCTCCACCACCAGCGGGAATGACTTCCACATTTCCAATAACTAAGTAGTCTCTCTCATCCCCAGGTCCCAGGACCAATGGCAGGGAGAGAGGCTGTTACTCATCTTTTAAAAATGCTGGGAGGTGTGTTCAATGCCCTTGAAATAGTAAGTACTCGGTAATGTTTACTCAGTAGACAAACAGATGAAAGAAAGTGTTCAGCTCATAATGGTTAAGTGGAAAACAATTTAACACAACCTCCAACCACCAGGAAGAAAAAGCCAGGAAAAAGCTATCAAACCCACAACTAAATCCCAAAGGGCTCCAGACTGGGGAAGAGGTAGGCAACCAGAAAAAGGAGTCTAGGCTTCAAGGCATGGTAGCTAAAATGACAGAGATACACTCTGCACAGAAACAGGGAAATAGTATGAGAGGTAAGTTTGAAAGTTCAACTTTGAACATGAGCTTCTGAGGTGCCAATGAGACACCCGAAGAGCCTGCCAAGGGAAATAGTAGAGAAGGAAGAGAAAGATTATCCAGGTAACTCCTTTGGAAACACTGACATTTTTAAGATGCAAAGGAGGGATAGGCAAATATTTTAAAGCTTTGCATCTGCTTCTCAGGTACAGCTAGGGTTGGGACAACGGGACAACTGTGTGTGCCAGAGGAAGGAGCAGGGCGGACAGAACACTGGCAGAAGAATGTTGCTTTCCGTTGACAATTCAAATACAGGTGTCAGCCATGGAGGGCCATGAAGTCCGTACACCCAGGATTTATTTAAAAGAGCCTCTCTGGTGGAGGCATCTGAATCCTCACCTTCTTGAAGTAAGCATATTGGACCAATTCCACAGCTTCCTCTGCATCCTGCAGGTCCACAGTCTTGCTCATGCGAGCCTTTGCATGGGCTGTGGCCAGTCGGATCAGAGTTTCCAGTGTCCGGGCTGTAACTGGAGATGTCTGCAGAAGAAAACGTCAGAGGATTACTCATCCAGAATCTTTTAGGCATGCCCATAATTTCTACTACACAGAAAAAAGGAAAAGCTGCAGAAAGCCCAAATAAAGAATTCAGAGCTCTGTATTCTCTATAGACGCCAAATAAAATTCAGAAAGATAACAAAAATGACCAAGGAAATAGACATGAGAGTGCTGAGGGAGGGAGGAGCAAGTGAGCTCATGGCTGGAAAGATAAAAGACTGACTACAAAGAGCACAAAAAGAAAGGGAAAAAAATAATCACTTATTGCAGGCCTACAACGTGCCAGGAAGTTTGCTTCTATATACAATCAATCTGTTGTTTAACCCTATTAATAACTTGAACAAGTTTTACAGATGAGGGAAATTCAAAGAACTTCAAGTCATTTGTCCAAGGTCACACTAAGGAAGGGTTGTGAAAAAGGTAATCTGAGGACAAATTTTTAAAAGCTAGGTAAAATCATGTAAGTCCAGAGGAGAACTCTAACACTCTAATGACTCTCCCAGGAGGGGACGGGCATGGATGTACCACACTGGGATGCTGTTACCTTTTACAAATACTAATGACTGAATGGCATCCTTGGCCTAATGAACTGGAATGAAATCTTCCAATTCCAGGCGATTCTGATTTGCCCTGATATTACCCAACCTTATCATTTTATGGATCAGGAAACTGATGTGAGAGGCAAAAGTTGTGCAAGGTCCAAAAGCTGCAGGGTCTCCTGTCACATGATTCTTCAGTGACATGTTCTGGCCACTTCTAGGTTCAAGTTTCTAAATTACCATTTAGATCCACACTGACATTCAAAAACAAATCTATTCATGTTTAAATTCATTCATCAAATCTTGTAATGATTTAGAAAAGTATCAGAGCTGGAAGTTGTACACTCCATTATAAGCTCTAATCTTGAATCACCTAAAAAGCTGGTGAAATCCCAGCCTGCACTAGCAGAACTACAGAGTCCTAATCAAGGGATTTGCAAACCCATATACCTTAAGACCACAACTAAAATGGTGTTTTACGCCCAGCCCTAGATTCAGTGAGAGTCTCTGACACAATAGAACCAGTTCACATGTAGGGAGGAACAGTTAAAAAGAAAGGGAGCTGTTTAACATGAAGGAGACAACTGAGGAACCATCTCCACAAAACAAGATTAAAATCCATGGGTAGAAATTGTGGGGGAAGCCAATTTAAGCTCAATCAATAGACCAATCTAAAACTTCAACATAGTAATGTTCTGAGCATGCTGTCACCAACAGTGTTAGGGAAGGGATTCCAGAAGATAGAATGGATGTGAGGCTGAAGTAGATGACCTGGCATCATGTCTAAATCCAAGCATCTACAATGTCATACAATGAGGGTTTTGTATCTGGATCTTTCTGTGAAATTCTATATGACACTGCCCCTAAAAAGCGTAAGATAGGCTCGGCGCCTATAGCTCAATGAGTAGGGCACCAGCCACATACATGGAGGCTGGCGGGTTCAAGCCTGACCCAGGCCTGCTAAAAACAATGACAACTGCAACCAAAAAATAGCCAGGCATTGTGGTGGGTGCCTGTAGTCCCAGCTACTTGGGAGGCTGAGGCAAGAGATCTCTTAAGCCCAAGAGTTTGAGGTTGCTGTGAGCTGTGACACCACAGCACGCCACTGAGGGCAAGTTAGTGAGACTCTGTCTCAAAAACATAAAAAAACAAAGATTTTAGATAAATTCAAAGATTTAAGATAAATTCAAGGACAGCTATGCCAGGTAAGTAGAAATTACTTTGGATAAGCATCATGGCTGCCCAACTGCTAGTCCTTTGTCAAAGTCCAGCCCAAATATCATACTCTCTGGGAAGTATTCATACCCCTTCTGGGAAGTCTAAAGGAGAAATTAATAGCTTCCTCATCTACACTCAAATAGCCCTCCACATTCTTTTCCTTTTTAAGTCCCACACTGGGGCAGATATTTGTAAATATATATATATGATCTTTCTACCTGCCTTTCTGCTTCCCTCTTGAGAGCTCTTTTTAATTTTACACTGCATGTAAGAATACAGAGTAGGTCAGTTCCCAGAAGTCACTCATATGTTTGCTGAATGAATTATAGCTTCTGGAGGCCAATGTCATTTGAACTAATGAGATATATGTTATCTCTGGGGTCCTTATTTCATTTTCCTATGTAAAAAGAAATGATTCAAATTGTTTAACCAGACCAGAAAAGAATCACTAAGTTAAAATGCTTCCAAAGTTCCTAGACAGTGGGGACTCTGGCCCCCGCCATATGGCAAGTGCTGCCCCTGGGCACTCACCCTGGCAGTGTCCGAGCTCATGCTGTCCTGGCTGCGCAGGCGTGAATACTCTTCAGCAATGTAGGCAGCTGATTCCTGTGTCAGGGCGGGCTTGATAATTTTGGCCACATGGATGTACTTCTTCATGAATACTGCACTCACCATCTTCTCCCTGGAGCCACACACAGTGAATTCCACTTCTCTGCCATATCTTATACCTGCCTGAATTAGTGGCTTTGCCTCTCCTGAGAAAATGCTCAAGCTCAAGGGCACAGCAAAGACAGGCCCTAGAACCCATAATCACAATTCCCATTTATATGGAACATGTACGAGGACCTTGCACATCTTTTTTATTTAATCGTTTTGAGTGCTCCTTGTGAATAAGTAGCAAGTTTAAGTATCATTAGGCCCATCATACAGGTGGGAAAGCTATGGCTCACGGAAACTAAAATGGACTCAAATTTAGTTTTCTGACTCTGATTTCTACATTCTTAAGCCAACAGCTTTGAAGATTATGTTATGCTTCTTACTGTATCATGGCCAAAAAGAGAGGTCTACGATCCTACATTTCAACCTTTGAGCACCTGATCACAAGTCTCCTTCATCCAAATCTACTTGCAAAGTCTCTAATGCTTGCTATCTACTGACCCTTCACCACAAACAGACATGCGCAATCATTCGTGTATAAGGAAGATGTCACACATCCCCCTCAGCTGGGCAAAGAACAGACCCGAACCTGGTCTAAATCACTCAGAAACACTTACATAACATCTGGCCCAGATAAAGGCCGTATCTGTGGATACAGAAAAGAAGCAAACTGTCCACATGGTTATGACTCTAGGTAAAACGTTGGCCTGGGTACATAAGGCCTTAAATATGCTCAGAAGCACATGTGCTCTAATATGACACAAATCTCAGGTTCCCTCAAGGGAGAGGTAATAGGAATGCTCACTTTTTCTTTTTGGTCCCATGCAGAAGGTTGTCATGTTTCTCATAAATCTGGGTTTCCTGCTGGTCCTCCTGGTTAATGTTGGGATCATCTGTGGCCAGAATATCCACAGCACTACCCAAGGGCATAGCTAGTAAGCCCAAGGTGGGAGAGAGGAGAATAAGAAAGAGTTTAACCCAGGAGAAACTGCATCTTCCATAGCACAAAAAAAGGACACAAACAATACTCACAATGAAAGGACCCCAAAAGAAACCAATACATGGAACCACAAATAAAGAAGGGGGAACTGCCTAACCCATAGAAAATGCTCAAAGGTATCCCCACACCCAGAAATGGACAAAAGACGCACCTTAGGATAAGCTCCAGTGGGCAAGCAGGGAAGGTGGCGAGGCAACATCAACCCCGCCCTGAAACACCCGCCCCCCCCCCCCCCGGGCTGTGCCTCAGACACCAGCATCTGACTGGCAGATCCCTTCCACTAGTCACTCTCACTCTTCTCATGGCCTCACCATCACCATCCTGCTCCCCGGGGGCTCTGTAGCGGTGCATCCTAAGGACATGGTCCGAGATCTCCCGATCCTGCTCAGGATCCATCTGATCCAGCATGATGAAAAGCAAGTCAAATCGGGACAGAAGTGAGTCCTGCAGCCCAATGTTCTCCATCGGGGTCTTGTACTGATCATACTGGGGACACAAGAAAAAAGGAAGTGGATGTGACCATGAATTGAAAGAAAGGATAACGAGGCAGTATTGATTTTGGAAGTGGAAACGGAAGGCTAGACTTTAAAGAATAAAATAAACGAGCAACAGTGAAAAACTATGTTAAAACTATAAAATACGTAAATCATCAAAACATGAAAGTATGTAACAAAAAAAGAAAAAATGCATAAATCATCTCTTCTACCTGCACCCTGCTCTAACACAAGCTCAGGTGACCCGAGCTCATCAGAAGCCTCACCTTCTAGCACAGGAACCTCTAAATGGTGAGTGCGGATCTCAAAATTAGCACTTCATTCCTGAGGCAGGATCAAGTCTCAAAGATGACTCCCTCTCCTGTACCTGTCATGAAGACAGGGCAAGCTGGCTAGGCCAGAAGCACTACGAACCTTGGACACCCTTACACAGAAGGTAATGAGTAAAAGCTCAACCAAAATGGTCAGTGATTCATAAATCATAATGTCTTAAGAATCCAAGTTTTTCCCTTGGTTTTCAGGTACCCCAATACACTTATCTTCCAGTGCTGGGCCTAGTGGGCTGATGCCTACCCACTATACACACTTCACAGAGAGCTTGACAGTCTTATAGGTTACAATGATTTTGACCATGTTCACATTTCAGGTCCTGCCATTTTCTTAAATTTTCCAGTCATTCTTCAGAATGATACACAAGGTCTTGACAATTAAGTTCTTGAACTCATCCTAGAAAAAGTGCTACATACTCATTACTGAATAGCACTATAGTCACCTTCAAACCACGCCCCTTGGCCATCTGGTAACCATAGTGAAAAAGCAATGAGTACTTTTTCTAGGATGAGTTCACGAACTTAATTATCTGACCTCATAAGTATACATTATCATTATAAAACCAACCTACAGAATCTTCCTAAACCATAACTACCAAACTTACCAGCTCAGAGATTTGGATTCAGAAAGTCTGGACTGGCAACTATGCATCCATATTTAAAAAAAAAAAAAAAGGTGGTGCCTGTGGCTCAAGGAGTAGGGCACCGGCCCCATATACTGGGGGTGGCGGGTTCAAGCCTGGCCCCAGCCAAAACTGCAAAAAGTAAAATAAAAAAACACCAAAACAAATGTTTCCATACACTGTAGTGAAATTATAAACTTCCAGAGAACCATAAGAGCTCTGGGTTCCAATCCTAACTGCCGTGTTCTAGTGTGTGGCTCTTTAGCAAGTTGCACAACCTTTGTGTCTCCATTTTCTCGCCTGCAAAATGAGGATAACCACGTACTTCATATTGTGAGGTAGTTACTGAGAGGATGAAAGGAGTTGGTACACTTAATGACAATACAGGTGACCTGGGTTGTGAGACTACAGGTTATTTTATTTTCTCTTTTGTATCGTTAAAAAGTTATCTGTAAGTTAACAATTTTCCAGAGGATTCTGTTGAGTAGGAGTGGGTGAGGACCCACTACTCTTCACCACAGACAAGATGATGACCTTACTTTTAGTCTTTGGCCTATTACTCCCCCTGGTCCCCGGGTATAAACTTCTCAGCCCATTTTTCTGCAAAACCAAATAAAAGTGGCAACAGTTAAAGGCCCAACTTCATTTACCCTGCCGTAGACGGGGTTGGCAGCTGCCAAAACACTGCAGCGGGCATTCAGCCGAGCATGGATGCCGGCCTTGGCGATGGTCACGCGACCCTGCTCCATTACTTCGTGGATGGCTGTACGGTCCATGTCAGACATCTTGTCAAACTCATCAATGCAAACCACACCTCGGTCAGCCAGGACCATGGCCCCTGCTTCTAGACGGCGCTCCCCTGGGAAGGGAGGAGGCAAAAATGCACACTCCAGTCCAGGTTATAGGGAACAGAAGGGAGGGGTTTCAATCGCCTTCCTTACAGCTTCTAACTATAGCACATAACAATGCAATAAAGAGGTTTCAGCTCCAAGAAACTTAAGACGAAACCCTGGTGGGTCACCTTTTCAGTTCATATCTAAACAATTACTTTCTGTCCCGCTTTGACCTCTATGCAGCCTTTGTGTTCTCAACTTCCTTTATACATACATTCTCTCTCTTCACTCTCATCCTCATGCAATATTCCAACAGACTTGTTTCCTTTCACTGGTCTTCAAAACCCTTCCTCTAGTTCATAAAATAGAATAATCTTCATTTTTATTTCCCTTCTGATGTGCTGAGCCCTGTCCTTTGAAACTCATTCCAATCACCTGAAAAAAAATCACCTGAAAAAAATCACCTACTCTTATAAATAGAAAGCCACCCAAAGACTTAAATAATTTATGCACCATTGTCAAATATTCCGTCCTCTATAATCTGGCCCCAACTAACCTCTTAATTATATTTTCAGAACATAAGCCAGGCCTAGAACAAACTCAAAGAATCTATATTCAGTCTCACTGTTGGGCCTTTAACAAAGACTCTTACAGCTTTACCTGTTTCCTGGTCTGTGGTGACAGCAGCCGTCAGACCCACTCCAGAGGAGCCCCGGCCAGTCGTGGGGATAGCCCGGGGTGCAGTGCAAAGCACGTACCGCAGAAGCTGAGACTTGGCAACCGATGGGTCTCCTGTGGGGGGGAGGGGCAGAGATGACTCTGTAGGAAACTCCCGACTCCCCCTAGTTAAGTTCTACTTTTCTAGAATAGCCTTGGCACAACAGAGACATATAATGATTGGTTGTTAATATAATTTCCTTCATTTTTCCTTTTACCACTCATGAAGAATATATCTTAAATACTATAAGTCAAGAATTCCAGAAATGATTTTAAAAATATATTTATTTTAGCCTTTTGCCCTAAAATATTGCCAGGTACAGAACACATAATCATACTATTTATGTTCCCACAACCACACTCCACAGGATAAGAACAAGACCCCCTACCTATTAGAAGAATATTTATGTCCCCACGAATGTGGCTGCCATTTTCTAGATCTCGTTCCACCCCTCCCAAGAGCAAGCAGAGGATTGCCTTCTTCACATAGTCATGCCCATGGATACTAGGTGCCAATGAACTGGCCAGCTGCTCAAAGATATCCTAGAGGAAAAATGACCAAGTAAGTGAAAAGCTTAATGAGATTCCACAGGGTTCTCTGGAGCTCCATTTTATACTTTGGGCAATAGAAAATGCTTGAAGAAATATACAAATCACATTATTATATCATCAGAGCACAGACAGAAGCAGCCTGGATTCCAAAACTTGTTTAGAGGTTGAATAGTCACAAAAAAAAAAAAAATTGTTCAAAGCTTCAACATTTTAGGTTTAATAAGAATGTGTATTATGCTTTAGCAGTAACTTTTATCATACATTCATAAATGTAGTTCAATTCTAAATGTAGATATCCTATCTTTAAAAAAAATAGGAAAAACAGGTTGGAGAACTAAAACAAAACATAACATTTTAATTTTAAGTAATAATGCATTACTGATCTCAGTAACAGACTTAGTGGTACACTGATAATTTAACTCTTAGTATGTGTATTAGGCTCACTTAGCAGCCCAGCAGGTAAGACAAAAGATTAAAAATAAACAGCACAAACAGCCTTTCACTTGTTGACTGGACAAAAAGTGGAAGAAGCTAATACTAAATACTTCAGAGAACCCTTTCTCCTAATCCAGTGCAAAGATAGCCATACACCAAACACAACTTTAAAAAAAAATTTTTTTGACAAAGTCTCACTCTGTCGCCCATGCTGCAGTGCAGGGGCATGATCATATCTCACTGCAACCTTCAACTTCTGTGCTCATGCCATCCTCCTGCCTCAGCCTCCCCACAACATGACCAATACAAATCCATAGCCATACTCAAATCTCTAAAGGATTCCCAGACCTTGGAACGGGTTTTACTGAACTTCTTGATCTTGGCTATATCCTCAGCAGAGAAGGAAGGCTGCGCATCCTTGCTCATCTGCTTCACATTACAGGCAATCAGGACAGTCCTAGGACAAAGAGAGTAAGGGAAGACGGTTATATCGAATTCCTAACATCAGTAGTTAGCACCTCTAGCAAATCAGAGTTCAGTGGGGAGGGGGCAGCTGTTCTGAATTAAACAAATGATTCCCTCTGTCCCTGACCCAAATATGCTGATCATGCCCCACCTCTAAAATTTGTTCATCGCCTGCTGACTTGCAGAGCTGAAAACAGAAGTGTATGTGGCAAGAAGGTAGGAATAAATGAGAAACTTCCAGACAGGCCATGAGGCTGTAATAGCGCCACCAATAACTCCCACTTCTGGCATAACATGTTAACTACCACCAGCTTAACAGAAAAGAGGTATCAGAGGATGTCCCATAGCCCAGGCAAGTAGAACAGTCCATTTATCAGATACGACTCTCTGGAATACAGCACACTGGAGAAAGGATACTACCACAAGTGGACGCTGCCAACAGCATTCCACTTTCCAGCAGATCCTCTACCTGAAGGTCCCTGACGTGTAGCCTCCCTTTTTTCCAGGCAGACAACGGTAGGTTCCCACCACCTGGACTCGGTCACCAGGCTTCACTTTATCTACTAAGTCATCATCCAGAATGACATCCACAGAGCGGGGAAGCTGCCCAGCTGGGGCCTTCTCTGGCATCTCTTGGATGGTGATGGTCTGGTGATCCTTATAGACAGAAAGGCCATATTCTGTCTCAAGGGGATTGTTCTCTTCATCCTGGAGAATGGCACAGAGAAAAGTACAGTTATCACAGTCCTGTCGTAAAAATGCTGTCCTCACGTGTTGTGGAAAACAAATAAGATGACTTTATTAAATTTTAGTATCCCGAAAACAAAATACCAGTTGTCCTCTCCATCTTTTTCCATCTCCATCTCTGTTCTAATAACAAACCATCTAATGGAAGAGGCAATCCACAGTCTGAAGGGACCGTGGCTATATTAGCATCTAAGTTAACATTCTTCCTTCCTCAAGCAAGCCACTCGCTTTGGCCTCTCAGAATGCTAGTATTCTTTGTTTTCCAGAGTAAAATAATTTTTAAAATACATATAACATTCTGACTCATTTAGAATTTATGATATTGTAATTTGTTTCCTTGTTGATAACTAGATAACCCAACATTTATTGAAAAGTAATGTCCTTCCTTTTTATATAGTTGTGATTTGTTTATATATAACATTCTTTTTTTCCCCTCTCCCATATATAACATTCTTAAAATTGAGCCTCTCTAAAAATTTTCTTGTAGATTGTATTAAAAGGTTAGTGTATATCTACCATCTGGAGTCTTTATTAAAAAAAAATCAGAAAGTATGAAAATGCCAACTGTAAATGGTTAAATAAGTGTATTATATGCATATAAACACCACATAGCAAGAAAAAGGTATGAAGTGCACCCATATACAATGTGGACAAATTTTATAAACATAACATTGAGCAAAAGCAGCCCAACACAAAAGAATATTTAAAGAAAACAGAAAAACATGTGAACATAATCTATGCTGAGAATAACATGGGCCCTTAAGAGGGACTTCTGAGTGCTGGTAAGGTTTTGTTTCCTGCCTTATGCTGGTTATACAGGTCTATGGTCTATTTAGCTTTTAGTAATTCATCAAGCTATACACTTATGTAAGCTTTCCTGTATGCATAAATTTCAATAAGAACATTTTTAAAGTTTTACTTCTTTGATATTTGAACTTTCTAAACTCACAATAACTATCACTTATTGAGTACTTGCTATGTACCAGGTACTGTGCTATTAGTTCATGAAATTACCCTGTAATTATCACAACTTTATAAAGCAGGCATTTTTCCCCACTTTATGGACAAGGAACCTGAGACTGAGAGAGATTTAGTAAGTTCCCCAAGGCCACAGTTAAGTAGCAGAACCAGATCTGATACATGAGCAACCCCAGAGCCCATGCTCTTAAGCACTATACTAGACTAAACCCAGAAGACTGGACCAATACACTTCACTTCTAAAGCAAAGAAGCTGAGCCACAGCGATCAGCAGAAGATTACTGGGTACTTCTTAAAGAATACGTTGTAAAAAATGGAGATCTCCATAAAAAAGATGACTTAGAAAATGCAATTACCCTAAACCAAAAAGAAGACACGGGTCTTATTCTATAAGACTATCCCCAACTGGGACCCTAAACAAGTCATTAACCTCTGTGAATCTGGAGGTAAACTAAAAGATTATGAAGTATGTTTCAGTTATAATTCTGAGATACTCTAATGTTTTAGTTTGTTTGTATTTTTTATTTCTCTACCAGTTTCAAGACTGATGACAAGGATCAGGTCTTATTTATATCCTTGTCCTCCACAGTACCTAACAATGCTTTGGCTACCATAGTTCTCATTTAAAATTTGATAGAATGAGTTCAGACATCAAGTAATCAATCTGTCTCATTAAGTAAGAAAAGCTTTGCATTGTCTTCAATCCAAATCAATTTGAACACTAAGAATAAACAAAAGTCATTCCTGTGCCTCTCTTCTCCCAAACCCACAGCAAAATATCTCCAAAGATTTCATAGTAAGGTTATAGAATGAGTATTTTTCTACTTCACTTTTAAAAGCAGATAATAAAATTATACATAACTTCGCTAAAAGATCTATGTAGATAACATTTTTCCTTCTTTTTACCATTCATAATTTTCTAAATTTTTTAAAGTGAACACACATCCTTTTTAAAAAAATAAGATCTGTGAAACTGGACACAGTGGCATGAACCTGTAGTCCCACCTACTCACAAGGCTGGGACTCGAGGAGGATCACTTAAGTCCGAAGTTCAAGGCTGTAGTGTGCTATGATAACAACTATGAGTAGCCAAGGCACTCCAGCCTGGGAAACATAGAGAGACCCTAATTCTAAAAATTAATAAATACAATAAAGAAAATTAAAAAAATAAAATAAAATAAGAATTGATAAATAAAGAAATAACGTGAGACTTTGGACTTTCCTTATTAAACTCTGGCCAACAATCAGTCTTTCCTTTGGATTAATCCTTTCTTCTCATCCTCTCAACTTACAGAAGAAATTACTTGCATAAAAATATACGTCTTTGACTTTAATCCTCAAGGAGGCCCCATCAATTCATGCTCCTCACCTTAGTTGGATAGACAGAGCTAGATGGAAAGGCCACCAGGTTAGTGAGATCAGAATAACGTCGCTCTATGGTCTTCTTGGTAGCAGGACAGTAGTGGACACTGCGGACCACTTTGGGACGAACTAGAGAGCCTAGGAATGGAAAGTATACATATAAAGGCACCCAACTAAACAGTGATGGGAGTAGGATCTAAATCTACACAAGCTTGTAAGTCCAAATACTGCGTTCTTTTGACGAGGTTAAACTATTTCAGTACTACCTTTCAGTCATTTTTTTTAAATTTATATATAGAATACCACAATATTCATGTGACATTTTAAGTAGTGCTGATTCCAAGTAAGAGAGAGTAGGAGATTGGTATTGGACCCAAGACTCCTCTGGCTCTCAGCAGAATGAATTTGGCTAACACAATTGGTCACTCACTCAAGGTCCTCCTAGTCATTGTGCACGCTCAGTTCCTCCAAGTTTTACCACATAATTTCAATGTTCCATCCCTCTGAAATCACAAGCTACCCAGATCTAATTTGCCTCTCCTGCTCTCCCAGTCTCCCTAAGTCATCACATCTCCATTTCCTTAGTGCCCCTCTTTAACCCACTCACATTTAGTGACAATGCCCTCCACACAGACCACACAGCTAAGGAAGCAGGAGGTAAGAGTCCGAGGAGAGACATGCTTGGAACCAAAACTGCCCTCCAATCCTACGTAGAACTCCTCATATTGCTTGGCATAGGTAGCATCAATGGAGGCCACAAAATCCTTTAAGGCCCGCTGGAAGGCAACCAGTTCCTCAAAGGCATTATTCAGGAGGCTGTATATGGGCAAGAGACAGAGAAATTAGAGAGGAGAGAATGCAAACACTAAGCCTCAAAACAGAGTGGGCATTCTTAGATCATGAAGGACAACGAGAGAAAATCCAGTTCCCACTTTCTCCTTTATCCTGCAAGACTCAGTAAAAGACATCAGACTCAACTTATGTTGAGATATAAAAATCATACTGGGCCAAACATTAGAAGCGAGAGCACTTGAGAAGAAAATGCTCATCACCTACTTCTGGAAGAAAAAAACATTGGTGCAGGTGAACCAACAGGGCTCCTGGGTCACCCCTATTCCATTTAGGTCCTTTCTCGGGACGCCTGTTCCAATCCAGGCAACAGGGAAGGGAGTTACTCTCAAAAGCCAGGATATCCTTGGGAAACCAGGGCCACTCACCGGTTGGCTCTCTTCTCATTTTTCTTGCGCAGGTCATTCACGTTGACAATCAGCCGGTATTGGTTGTCACTTATCAGCTCTCTAACTTTGCTCTGATAAATTCCCTGGTCTTCCTGCAACACAGCCACCACATATCACAATAGCCACAAATGCAAAAATAAAATATTTCTAAAAACAAGCAGTTCTCACAGTAGAATAAATAAGTCAACCTCTGTAGCATAGATGAATCCCAAGTATGTCTTCGTTAATTTCTCCCTTTTATTCATTATCCTCAGACTCCAAGTACACTCTCTAGGGAGATGGTAAAAAGGATAACGAATTTCTCAAAGTCCCTGCTATTATTCCCACCATCATCAACCGCTTTTCAGTATGTTGTCATTTCTCATTCTTTAATGAGGAATTAAAATGTTTTCATAAGAAGCCTAAAAGGACAGTAAGTAAATACTTTGTGAAAAATGTAAATTTAATGAAAAAGGGAAGCAACACAAATAGATGTTGATTTGCTTGACTACAGCAATCATCTCACTGTGAATACCAAAACATGGTGACTACCTTAAATATATACAATAAAAGTGTAAATGAACCAGTCTTTTAAATCCACATTAAAATGGTTTTTCATTTTAAAACTCTGTACAGAATTAAAATATATTTTCACAATAATAGAGAAAGGGTTACCCTATCTAAACCTAAAGGAGTAGGGAGTTTTAGTTAT